CAATCAATCAATCAATCAACCAATCAATCAGAATAGAGCTGGCAGGGAGGGACCTTGGAGGTCTTCTAGTCTAATCCTCTGGTCAAGCAGGAGAGCCTATGCCATTTCAGACAAATGGCTGTCCAATCGCTTCTTAAAAATAAATGTGCTATTATCAACACTCCCTTTTTTTCCTTGAGAAAGTCTGGATTAATTTTCTTCCTGCTATAGAAACACTTGATAATGTCCCTTCTCCAGGTGTCTGCATGCTTTCTTCCAGGAGCAGGATATGAAGTCAATTACTCAACTCTAGTAAGTCTGTACTGGATTGAGTCACACTAAATAGCAGGGACATTACTTTTGGTCCCACTTTTCTGCCCATCTCGCAAACCAAAGCTTGAAAATGCCAATGTCCTGCAAGAAAGGGTAACTCTATTGAATCTTGTTTAGCAACCCTCAATACCACTGAAACACAATTAACATCCTTAATACTATTGTAGCACCCCTCAAAAAAGATGATATAAAGCATAAAATTGAAGACCCATCATCTCATAAACCTACCCCATCTCAACAATCTTAGCCTCAATCACAACCTCATGGAACCAACTACTAATGACATCTCAATCCTCATCAAAGATGCACTCAAACATGAACAGAAGCTTCCAAATGCCATCTTATTTGGACTTAAGTACAACAATGAAATAGATGACATCACTAAGGTTTGCAGCAGCATCAGAAACTTTCTGGCATTAACAATCTCTCCTGATGAAATTATTGACATCTTCTGTGATGGCCCTGAATACAAAAACAACAATGGCACGATGGCTCCATGCTTCTGCAGTCATTTGCAATAGTGAAGCCAGCAAATGCAAATTCATCCACTCAATAAACGCACTTTCCAGAAACCACATTAATCATAATAAACTTTATTTGTGGCCCGGCCTATTCATTTTACAATGTGCACTCTCCCATGAGCTCCTCACTGAGCTCAAAAGGTATCTGAATCATGGAGAGACTGATCTATACATTGATTACTGCACCAACTGTATTAAACACAACACCATTGGCTCATGTACTTACAACCCCAACAACCCAATAATCAACAATAGACAACCCCAACAACCCTACATCCAAGACTAGGCATACTTGCCCCCAAGATCATCCAATCCTTAAATGCAAACTATTCAACGCAAGAAGCCTCGCAAATAAAATGCCGGAATTTCTTCTCCTACTAAATATGGCTCAAGTTGACCTTATATTTGTCTGCGAAATGTGATTAAACATATCCTTTCCAGACTGCATTACCACTCGAGTGACTACCATGTCCACTGGTTTGACCGGGAAATCCGAAAAGAAGGTGGTTTTGCTATCTTCTATAAAAAGTCCCTACATCTGAAAAATATTCAAATAACACAAGAGCTTGTTCTTCCTGAGACCGTAATCTGTGACCTGTCACTAAATACCACAATTCACTTCCTATTATGTTACAGAGCCCCTGATTATGACCTTGATCATGCGAGCAAACTAGCTACATTACTAAGCTCATGCCCATGTCCCATTATCTTTGTTGGTGACTTCAATTTACATCTTATTAATTGGACTCTAAATGAGTGCACAACGGAATGAGTATACAACCCTGTATGCCATCACTACTTTAGGACTCATTCAATTGGTAACTATTAACACTAGATTCAACAACTGCCTCGATCTAATCTTCTGCAACAGCTTAAACACAATTTATAGCCTTCATATCAAAGTATCTTTTTCCAACAGTGACCACAGCATGATTGACTGTTGTCTAAATTTACATCCATACAAAGAATCTCATAATAGGATTCTTAAATACATCTTCAAAAAAGCAAACTACAATCTCATAGCTGCCGACCTCTCATCTCTAGATTGGCAAATCCCGTTCAATGACTGCAACACTGCTGAAGACTATTATAACCCTTTTCTATTTGAAGTTCAAAGAGTCATTAATCTATATGTACTTTTTGTAACACTCAAAGCCAAAAAGAACAAATTACCCATATCAATAAGGAAACTGCAATCCTCAAAAAAATCCCATTGGTGGAAAAATAAAACTGGCTATGGAGCTAACTTCAAAAACTGATACAAGATCTTATGCTACCAAATAAAAACAGAACGTACCTTCTTAATAAAAATATTAACAAATTTTCATTTAGATCTTGTTATAAAGGTGNAAGACACAGGGAGATTGCCCTCAAAGCCTGTGTAATATTATTGAATACAGTCAACTCTTTTATACTCCCAAACCACAAAACTCACAATCCTGAATCTGTCGTGTGTCATTTCCTTTGCCTTATATGGCTAAAAACTCCTGCAGCAGTTACAAATATGGGTACATACCAGTTTTCACAATGTATTGCCTTTCACAAGCCCTGTACTCTATATGTTTAGTTTGGAAATAATTCAGTAATATTTGCAATACCTGCAATACCTGAAAACCAAGTGGTTTTCACTTCCTCCTGTGCACACCTTGTCTTACAGTATATTTAAAAAAATGTTCAAGCCTCTGTAAAACAGTTATTTCAGCAAAGTTGGCTAATAATACGTTTTTTTATCTAGATTTGGATTTATTTTCTAATTTATTTTATCAAGGGTACCAGATTTTATATAGTCCATTAGGATTTCAGTGGTCATTAATTTCTGATACCTGCATGATCATCAAGAACAAAATAAATGCTTTAGCAACTATTTATTTCTTCCAACCTCAGTTCCTCCCAAATGTATCCAAGGTGGTATGAGGAGCTCTTGGTGCTCTCTGAGCTTGGTTGTTTTCTTGCAGACATTCTATTACCCAAACTAGATAATATTGTCAGTGCTAATCCTAATCATGCCTAGGACTGATGATGTTACCTAGTTTGAAATAAATATCTGGGGGGAAAAAACCAAACCCAGAGAGTACCCCTCATTTCAACCCTGGGCTACAAATATTCTCTTTATTGGTATTATGATGGTATGCTATGCAAAAACCCCTAACCTGGTACCTCTCCAGATATGTTGGAGTATATTTCTATAGTTTAGCCTAACATCTGTAAGATCAGTGTAACACAGAAAGTTGCAGTATAGTTCAGAAATGATTAAATCTCCTATAATCAACCAATCAATCAGAATAGAGCTGGAAGGGATCTTGGAGGTCTTCTAGTCTAACCCTCTGGTCAAGCAGGAGAGCCTATACCATTTCAGACAAATGGCTGTCTAATCGCTTCTTA